TTCTATCGAGCTCGAATAGCCGAAATACGTGTTGAACAGGCCATTTTTGTCGACGAAACGGCTGCAAATAAGCGTACAAAAGACCGTCGAAGAGGCTAGTCAAAACGCGGCGTACCATGTAGAGTTACTATACCACATAGGCACTCAAGGAGATAGAGTATTTGCCCTGCGATAGGTATTAATGGCTATCTTAATTATGAGATATATCACGGTAGCTTTAATACTGAGAGATTCAACAACTTTATTCGAAGATTACTACTGAAAATGAATCTGTATCCTAGGCCACGTTCAGTACTAATTATAGATAATCACAACGCCTACTACAACTAGGTAGGGCTCAAAATAGCTCTATTCAGCATTAATACTGATAATAATGTTTAGGAGCTTCGGGATATATGCGCAAAGAGAGGCGTTCTATTAATATTCCATACTAAGAGATTCAACAACTTTATTCGAAGATTACTACTGAAAATAAATCCGTATCCTGGGCCACGTTCAGTACTAATTATGGATAACTATAACGCCCACCACAGCCAGGTAGGGCTCAAAATAGCTCTATTCGGCGTTGATACTGATAATAGCGTTTAGGAGCTTTAGGATATGTGCGCAGAGAGAGGCGTTCTATTAATATTCCTTCCTCTATACTCTCCTGATTTTAATCCTATCGAATTGTCGTTCTCCCCACTAAAAGCATGGATGAAGGGGCATCGAGAGCTAGCAGATGGCTTTGATGAGTGGTTTAAGAGCTTTTTTTATCTTGCTGTTCAACAGTGTGGTGTTGAGAGGTACGCAAAAGCATATTTTCGACATTGCTTTTTTGAGGTTAACGAAACTATTGTTAACGTGCCTTACGATACTATTGAGGAGGTATCAGACTAGCTCAGAGGGAGTACTCTAAACGCGCTTTCGAATGATACTATTATCGTCGCTGTACGATTTGTTGTCATATAGTAATCGTCGAAAAGCAAAACTAGGTTATCTCTCGAATTCTAATATAGAACCGCGTTGTGTATGGCCGAAAGGGGGGTCTTGGCAAGTCTTAGCGTAAATTTCCAAATTAAGTAATATTTTAGAATTAATTTTTATGAGCTCTTGTATAAGCTAGTAATCTATTTACACGCTAGTAACTAATTGAATTGCAACACTTTTGGAACGGGCAGTATCCGTACACCGGCGTTGACAGCCCGGTCTGAAATAATCATTTCGCGAACTTGGTTGACCACGGCCGTCAAGGAGGCGACATTTTTGCTCGCTTGATCTTGCCATTTCTCAACGTTTGACAAGGCAGATGACACATAATGCTGGAAGGCCGATAGCTTTAACTGTGTTTCTTTTTGCTGTGCTTGGATAACAGGGAGAGCTAGGGTGGTGGAATCCTGTAGCGCCTGTATCTTCTCGTGCATATCTCTCTGTTCGGCCAAGCTGTTCGCGGAGGCACGATCCGACGACCAAAGTGCGGGCAGCAAAATAGCAGAGCGCAATCTACTAGCACTTAGAGGTCGCAAGACCAGCCCCGAGCGCGTAACAATATCACGTACTTCTCAAATTGCCCTGATGGAATCGGTGTTACTCGAAGAGGAAATAAAAAACAGACTCATAAAGCCTCGATTAGATCAAACCGAGTTAATACACAGCCAAGTTACCGGTGTGATATCTTCTTCTCCAGCGAGCCAAGTCACCTCAGCAACGATCCTCGGGAACAATGAGACAACGCCCGGCGTAGTGGATGAGCAAGACCTTCGCGTCCACGATCCTTCTCAGTTGGATCTTAAGAAGCTACAAGAATACATCGAGCTATTGCAGACCCAAGTCAAGAGACTTGAGTCCAGCCAGAAAGAGCCGTCGCCCTTCAGGTTCCAGGTCTTGCACCGCTTAATGCAAAAGCGTTATCACGATAACAAAGGCCGAACGGAAGCTAAGTTGAGGCTTTCTGCACCGTACTTTGACAATCCAGAATGGATTGAAGGTGAGCACAACCAACGTCAACTCCGATGCAGCCTACCCGTTACCAACTTTGAGCTGTACTTGGAGAAGAACAAGGACATAGCCTTTATTGTCTACCGGGATTTCCACCCAGCACCGCCAGATACGGCCGGATCCGGCAGCGCCGACCCATTCCACTAAAGATACTAACTCTATAAGGCCACTGCCCAGCAGTGAGACTATTCGACCTGTAGCTCAAGTGCTGATTGAAACCATCGAAACTCTGCTGAGTTCGCGGGACGAATACTCCAGCTTACTGCAGGAATACAAAGTTTCACCAGAGTTGCACGCCCCCTACCTCGCTGTATATCACAGCCGTAAAGATCTGCACACTTTTCAAGAGGGACTGTCTTCCGAGGCCAAAAACAATTCTCCCTCCTTCTTCAATACATCACAGATCAGTACGGGAACAAGTATGCAGCAGCGGACTCTCTTTTCGCGGAGAACAAGATATCATCAGATAATGTGCCATATTTGTTCAAACCGGGTGATATCCTGGTGGAACGCAGGCAGGGGCAATACGACGCGTTTGTGGCTAGCAGCTGGCCAAAAATGGCCGGGAGCAGATATGTATCACGCCTGAGTGGCGGTATTCGAAGCGGTGATCCACCACCGCTCTACAGCTTAGATAAAGCTTCGAAAAGCGTTGCGAATGAGAAGATCAAGGTACGGGGTTGGTCAGTGACTGGTTGGAATTGGGCGTTCGACGGGAGTTTTAGACGCCAGCCTCGTACGCGTTTCTCTGAGATCGAAGTCGGTGAAGAAACCAATAATGACACAGTCCTTCGGGAAAACACTATGGCCAAACAGAAACAGCGGATAGACACTGACCAAGTGAAGGGTCAGGATATTGTAGACATGAGCATTTTTCCTCTCGCATATGCTGAACCAAATCTTGTTAACAGACTTCAGAGGAGAGGCGAGACATTCTGGAAATGCCGTAACCGACGCCTAGTTTCATACATGGAAAAAGTTGTGGATAACACACAAAATATGGTAAGTTTTGACAAACGTTGGCCTCAAGATCATATTCCGCCTTTCGTCGCCTGATCTAATACTTGTAATTATGCAGGTTGAAGAGCGGTACATGATTGACTTCAAAACCTTCTGTAGCCTGCATCGGAATAACAACTTTCCAGAGTCATCGTTGGACGAACTTGGAGATGATGCTATGGCTAAGGATGAGCCGCCAGACGAGAAATTTAGTTACCTACTCCCACCCACAATCAAGGGCTACAACCTACGACTCAAAAAATGGTTCGATCTGGAAGTTGACCGAATCTCTGAAGTTAAATGGAATGTGGAAGCATTCGAAACCCTGGTCCTCGAACGAAAAGCCAGAAATCTCATCCTCGCCCTTGTCAGCAACCAAATAGCGGCCGAGAAATCAACCGATCTCATTGCCGGTAAGGGCAACGGCCTGATTCTATTGCTGCATGGTGGACCAGGCAGTGGCAAGACCCTGACCGCCGAGAGTGTCGCTGAAATAGCCCAGAAGCCGCTATATCGTGTATCATGTGGGGACGTGGGTACGAAAGCGGAAGATGTTGAAAAGTACCTTGAATCAGTCCTCCATCTTGGCAAGATATGGGGCTGTGTGGTACTGCTCGTGAAGCTGATGTCTTCTTGGAACAACGCAGCTTGGAGGATCTGGAGAGGAATGCCCTCGTTTCTGTGTTCCTACGGGTCCTAGAATACTACGAAGGAATTCTGGTGCTCACCAGTAACCGTGTAGGAACGTTCGACGAAGCATTCAGGTCAAGAATCCAGCTTGCGCTGCATTACCCCAACCTGGGCCAATACCAACGATTACGCGTTTGGGAGAACTTCATCAAGCGGCTCGAATCTTTCGGTGACGACAGAGTGGAAACGCAAGACCTTCGCGATCATCTCGAGGATTTGAGCAAGGAGAAGATGAATGGCCGACAGATACGAAATGCAATCACTACCGCGAGGCAATATGCCGATTGGCAATCTGAACAATCGAAAGACGGCGTGGTAAAGAAAATGACCTACGGGCACCTGAAGGATGTGATTGAGGTTGCTAGCCGCTTCGACAAGTACCTTGACCAACTACATGGTGGGCTTTCTGCTGACCAGCTTGCGGAGGATGAAGGACTGAGACTCCCCTCGACTAATAATATAAACAAAGATTAGGTCGTTCTAGGTTCATCGCGTTAAACGAATACTCGAGCCTTGGCTCTGGAACCAGGTGGAGCGACGAGCGTGCGCCAGCACAAACTATGTGCGTCAGCCTGATTACTTTACGAGACCCATGAAATAGTGATCCAACTTATGCTATACTATGGCAATGGTACTATGAAGGTCTCTATGCACATAAGAGAAATCCTTTGCAAGTAGACAAAGCGTTACGAATAACCTAACATGTCTCACAGCCACCTCTGGACTGGGGGTCCGGAGCACCCCTGTCGACGTGGTCTCACTACCCCCGGAGGTCCAGAACTTGTGCAAAAATTACGTGCAGTTCTCAAATCTGGCACCCCACACACGTTTTTATCGATATTTTGTTAGCAACCTAATGTTCGTCCCTACCTCTCTGTATTGTTGGTAACGAGTGAATCTGAATGGAATACTATCAGCAAACTTTCTCATTCCATAGCGGATACATTCCAGACATAGATTTCTAAAGTTTGTGGCCAGGTTTTTAGGTGAATAATGGAATAATGGAGTTGATCAGACGGCCACAAATTTCACAAGCAAAATCCCGTTAAGCTTTCCTTTTCGGGTAACTTGCTTCTTCGGCCATCTGCAGACATTATGCGTCATTGATGAATTGTTAGTTGTCTACACGATCTACTCTTTCATGTCCAATAGGCCCTTTCCAAGTGTAATCCTTCTCTTCGAAACCCTGAGGGCTATCTTCCTTCGCTAAAAGGCTCTAGACCCGGACACTGCCACGTAAAGAGAAGCGGCCAAATGTCGACTTCAGCATTAGGCAACCTGGTTCGGATCGTTCCGCTTGAGCTTTCAGATCTTCCTCCCCATCCCAGCATTCCCCAACAATCTCAAGCCGCCTCGACCACCACGCCCTCCGACTCCCGTCTCATAACCTTTCTTCTTGCGATCCTCGACGAAGCGTCGACCTTCATTTCCCCATCCACGTTCTCCACAACGTTCACCTCTCTATCGACAAAATCCTCCCCGCCATCCGCTTCTCCGGTCGAGGTCTATAAACGCGAGATTTCTGCCTCAGACGTATCATCCATCCAATGGTCTGCGAACCAAAGGGTGCCACGAGAACCGCCAGCAAAGGTAGAGGATGAGAACTGGTTCGCGCGCAGATCGGTGCACAAGAATGAGCCCAGTAAGACGAGCGAAGGCAGTGCTAGTTGGTCCGAATTCGTATTTGGTCTGAAGGAGCAGCACTCAAAGCACGAGCAAGATTTCACACCAACGCTGTACGATGCACACTACGTCCTTGATTGGAATGAGGAGATTCGGAACCTTCCCAAACAGGGTGGCACGAACGAGGACTGGATTGAGGGTGAGAATGGAATCAGATATACAGATATCACGATGGAGAGTACGTGATCATTCTCCTCACAGATCCCTGTTTCCTGCAATGCACTAACGGGCCCCTGTGCACGATACAGTATTCGAAATGTGCCACTCACTCCCCGGTCCCCTCGGTCCCCGCTGCTTCCCAGTTCTCGTCCTAACCGCCTTTACATCACCAACGTCCTTCCTCGCCGTTACCGTCCCAGTCAATCTGCTCTCTCCTGCACCTCTAGAAGCAGCGTACTACAGCACCGGCCGCAACGCCACCGACCCTTCTGCATCGGAACAGCAGCAGAAGAGGCCTGTTGTAGGTGTTTATGCTGCGGTTGAGACGGTAAAACTGCTGGGTAATGGTGAGGGTGAGGAGGGCGGGATTGAGGTCAGGGATGGCGATGGGAGGGATATCGAATGGATCATGGCAATGGCGAGTGACGCGAAAGGTAACCTCCCGATGTTCTTGCAGAAACCAAATCTACCAAGCGCAGTGGCGAAGGATGTGGGGCTCTTTATGCAGTGGATTAAAGGGGTGGATGTGGAGAAGGAGAGGCAGGGTGGGAAGGATGTGTTATGATGGGTGGTGATGATGCGAGCGACAATGAAAACGGCCTTGCTTCAGCGATTCATACGACTTGACTGCTCAACTATACGTACATACCTGAATGTTTTCGGCAAAACACGACCGCTGAAGGCTTCAGAATTAAAAGCGCCCGGTCCAGCCTTATACTACAGGGTGTAAATGCCAGCATTCGCTCCGCGGTGATGACCGCAAAGCGCCAGTTTCGGAAGCACTCGCGAATGTCTTTGTCCCAACGAATGTAAATATCAGCAGTCTCCGTTATGGAGACCTTTCAATCTCCATGTAGCAATAGGGAGATCAAGATGAAAGATGGTCGATTGCTGATGCTACTTGATCTGATCTGACTGCTGATTTGCGATAGAATGACCGCCGCCGTCTGGTCTTTATGTGCAAACCTCTACCTCTAGGGCGTTAATTATCTATCTAGCCGGATGGATCATCGGACATAATCATGAAGTTCTACAACAAGGTAATCGAATATCCCGACTCGGTCGATTTGGAATACTTTCATCCACCATTCCGAGTGTTTTTGGCTCCTGGTCCTCGTATGATCATATTAGATTGAGGGAAGGAGAGGTGGGAGAAGAAGTCTTCTTGAGGAGTAGTAGGGGTACTCTTTCAGGTAGGCGGACTACCTAATCTAGTTGAGCTAGCTGTATTTTGTCCAACGGTGGCAGAGGATGAGACTCCTAGTGCTCACATGATTTTGCTGCCGAAAGTGGTGGGAGAGGTGCAATTAGTGGACATCTGGGCATATGCTAAGGAAAAAAAGTAATATATATAACTATACTCCGTATATCTTAAAGGTACCAGTGCCTTGATATTAGCTGAATTTTAGGATCGAAGGTGGTTGTGTGGCTTGTTCGCACATCGGGAGCATATGAGAGACACCGTCCTAATATAGAGCTATATAACGTTAAGTAATTCAGTTGCAACTGGTGTGTTGCACATATCTGCTGGATAATAGGACACCTATAGATCAGAAGATCTCAAAACTAAGAGAAGTCGTGTGAAGACATGTTAAAAAGACGGTATTACTAGCAAGAACGAAAGTCTCCAGTGCCCCATCAACATCACTTTCGTCAGATATGGTCCTCCAAAGGCAGTGGTCCTATTGGTCCAGCACAAAAAGACCCAAGGCTACCAATAGTCACAGAACAAGTGGAGAAGAGGAGGCCTAATTACCGAAGCAGAATCTAGCCCTCATAATCCCAACCGTGCAAGTTTTTCAGATCCTCCTATTCTCAAATCGTTAGATGGCAATCATCCCTGTGGTTCCCAACCCTCTGCCGCCAGTTCAAAGCCGCCAAACGTAAAGCCAGGCGCCACGGTGCAGCCCACCAAGGTCCAGTCACCCAGACTCTGTGCGCGCTGCCACTGGCCTTTCTCGATGACGATCTGCGGTGCTTGGTTGTCGAAGATATCCGGGCCGAGAGTCGGTTGCCTCACCGGCTGACCGTCGTCGAATGAGAGTGACAGCCGAAGTGGCGCACCGGAATAATAGTGCCAGAGTTCGGTCGCATCGAGGACACGGTGCCAGTAGGATACTTCGCCTTTCTCGAGGAGGTAGTAGATTGCCGTACTGGCAGAGCGGTTGTTGATCGTCTCTGGGTCTTCGAACGTCTGGCTGTACCAGCCTCTTTCGGGATTCGGGATCAGATTGAGCTGCGTGATGATTTCCTGGGCTGAGCGTTTGCTGGAGGGACTTTGGTCCGGCTTAGCGTCAGCCTTATCGGGTAGATCAAGCGGCCGCGCAGTGCTGCTTTCGAGCAGGAGGGATAGCAGGGCGACGAAAAGAAGGTGATAATACATGATGTGAGGGTGGATTGAGTGACCCGTGAAGCTGAAGATGATGAGGAAGCTATGATACATAGGAGTGAAGTTTCAGGGCAGAGAAAACCCCGCTGCTTAAGGGAACATCTTGATTACAAACTCACTTGAGCCGTATGCTAGATTTCAAATGCGGATACGAAGTCATGCATCAAAACTCAAAAGTACGTCAACACCATTTAGCTAGCTCTCTCAATACTACTGTAACATACATAACCACTTGGCAAGACCCCACTTGGCGAGACAATTTGTATGCACTTTACATGGTAATTATATCACCTTATAGGCCATATTATCATTACCCAATTAAGCCAAAGATAAAGCTATCCCTTGTGTCACTGAATGGGCTGACTTCCTTGTATGGATTAGTACTCCCGTGGGTTTAAGTCTGCTGTGTGCGCCTGTAAGCCTTCGTCTGACTCCTATCCAGCTTCGCGGTTTACAGAATGCGTTCGAATCGGTCCATTGACAGTAATGCATTTGGCAATCATCTGTTAGGGCATCTAGATCTTGACAGTTTTATTATCGATAAATGTAATAAGATGGTGGTTTGATAAAGGGTGCCTTGTGATATATGTTTATTTTATAACAAACCAAAGCTATAGACTTCAACAGATTCCTTGACAAAATGACATTTGTCCACCAGTTAATCTATCATAGGATTGCCGTCCCCATGCCATAATGGACCGCTCCGAACGAATTCTGTACGGTCTAGTGATTCCCCATAGTTGTATCTCAGCCCCGTTCTTCGTAGTTCGCTCAATAGAGGCGGCATCCTTGATAGGTTGAGAGTGAGGGCAGTGGTGGAGGTATCGAGAGGGTATACTTTGAAAAAGTCTGCCGAAGATGTTCCCCACTGGTCGTAGTTCCTTGATCCTTGTGCTGGGTATGCCGACTGTTCTGTTGGCTCTTCTGCTGACCCATCTGCTCACTCTTCAGCTGGCTCTTTTGCTCACTCTCCTACGATCTCTTTCTGCACCCTCGTTCGTATACATTTCTATCCACTCTTCTGCCCAGTCTTTCGAACAGTCTTCTGGTGTCTGTTCTGCTTGTACTCTGCTCCCACTCCCCTGTGCTCTTTGTTGCCAAAAAGCTTTCCGTCGTTCCTCATCAGCTTGGAGAACTTCATCAACCTTGAGGCTGTTGGATTCCAGGGCTCCGCACCATTCTTTCCAGCATGCGCGTTTTCGTGCATGATCCGATGGAGTTTCTCCGAATTCGTCACAATGATTGGCATCGGCTCCGGCCTTGATTAGCAGATAAAGCTTCTGCTCCATGATATCGCGTTGCTCTTCTCGTCTGAAACTCCACATGGCACATTGGAGAGCGTTTTGTCCATCACAGTCGGTCGCGTGGATATTTACATTAAACTCCAGCAACAGGCGAACCATCTCTAGACTTAGACAACCCTTAGTAGCGAGCTGATCCAGTAGCGGCGTTCTCCCACACTCATTTTCCTGCTTGAAATCATATTCCTCTTCTTTCAGAAGAAATATCCACGAATCCCAGAGGCCAAACAAGGCGCCGTGTTCACCACTGTCAGCAGTAAGCATACTAACTTGCACAATTCTGAAGAGCTCACTCTAAATTTGACGGACCAATCCCTTGGCTGTTAAAATAGTGAAACAGGTCCAATCGACCGTAATATGCTGCAATCTGTAGCACGCAATGTCAGCGATACAGAAATCTTGCTGCAACGCCCAGTCAACGTAGGATACTTACATACAAACAGACGTTTCCCATGTCTTTATTGACGTCATACGGAGATATTCTACCGTTTCGAATCGCGGCGTCGATCTCCTTGAGCGTGCCACAGGAGATGAGCTCAATATGCAGGCTACAATTTCTGACCATGTTGAAAGCGTTGAGCTGAGCGTGAAGTCGAGGCTCTGGCCTAAGAGATTTCACCTTCATGAACCGTCCTTGAATCGATGTCGAACATATCCGGGACTGTGGTGAAAATGAGAAGCCAACTTCATGGATACTGTATGAATCGGATGCATTTGGCCACCCACAATTTCGACGCGGCATCACGATTACAATCGTGCCCACAGGCAACATAAACGAGAAAGATTGGCGACTTGATCTTGATCGTTTTCTTGTGTCGACATGGGTGGATTTGGTCGTTTCACGGCTTGAATCATGCTCGTTTATGGGCGTCTTCTTCGACATTGGTGGGTATCTGTGCCCATGTTGCGCTATATAGTAAGAAGTCACTCCTTGCGAGTAAATCCAGTCATCAAACGACGTCGCTGTAGAGCCCTGTGAAGTAGCTGCAACTTCTTGAGTTGCCGATGATACAAGATTCTCAAACTCTGATTCAAGCCAGCAAAGGTGTTTGTGCGAAACTTGGCCGCTATGTTGGGACATGACCATGAGAATGGCGCCGCGAAGCTCAGCCTTCAAGAGAAGTAGTGGGAGTAGTGTAGATTCCAAACTATGTCCGTTGAATCGAATCTGGCGGCTGTGCTTATTTGCTGATTTATATGTCGGGGACAAGTTTCCACGTAGATCCTGAAGTTTGGAGCATGTAGTATCAATGACCTGGGCGTTACCTCGGCTTATCTGATGCCGGTTCTTGTTGTCCTCCCTGAGAGCGTTTCGACTACCGCTCAAAGGGTGCTTCTGCATACCAGCCTCTTGCTCATGCAAATGGGAATTGGACATTCCTAAGCTGGTTTGCCGGGCTGAAACGCTCTTCCGAAAATTGTGCATCCCTGGCTCAAGCCTTTGCAGGTGACCCATGAACTTGGTCGTCATGTTTTGAAATCCTTGATGAATTTTGCTTTCCACGCTTCGCTGGTAAAGATGATCCTGTCGTCTGGATGTTTCGATGTCGTCAGTAACTCAGAAGATAGCAGGACGTCCCAACGTACCTTCCAACAAGCACTAAAGCAGCAACCAGTGTTGATTTCGAGCTTTCAAGCCTCTGCAGGTATTTGAGTATTCTTGGCTCATCGAGTACCCACTTGAATCTGCCCTTCGATTTGGTGATGCCGTCATGGCATTCGTAGAACGCAACGAGACTCGTCAATTCGCGGTTCAAGGTCTCCAAGGCAGACCTAAACAGAGGCAACGCTCGGTTTAGAGCTGGAGTAGTAGCTGATGGTGGGAAGGATGCAGATGCCCTTAACTCTTGCCAGTACAGCTTCAAGTCTTTAACGAGAAGGAGGTTGTCGTGTATGCAGCATCGCAGGCTCTCCACTTCTGCTGGCGCATCTGTGATTGCAATAAGATGATGATAGATTTCCTTGCCAGCCCGTATCACGACGTCCGTTAATCCAAACACGGCAAAGGAGCTTGCCGCCATTGAAAATGGTTCTACCATATTGCGGAGGATGAGCCAGTTCTTAAGGTGCACTCCGATGCGGGAAGAAAAGGCAGAGGGGTCAACATAGGGAGAGGTGTAAATTGTAGATATCAGAAAGCGCAGGAGGGCTGAGGTCCTAGCTCCGTTGTGACTGTTGTGCATCTTGCTCCTCCAAGATCAAGGCATCTGAAACCCCCCTCATTGAAATCAGCCTACGAACTGGGCATTTACGCCCTCGTCCAGGCCTCATCTAAGGTCCATATCGCGTCCTTCGAAGTGGGAAGTGGCAATGGTGTACAGCCATTGGACATGAATACTTTAGAGTGCTTCTTAATCGGTGAGGTGCCTTGCTCATGGAGTCATCCCCTAGGTCTGCGACCTAGCAATGGGATGGGTGCATGTTGGGAATCATCAAGAGGTAGTCTTATCATTGGAGAGATTTCGCAACCCCACAATGTTGCTTTGAGAGTTCAGTCTACTAACCATCTCTAGTGTCGTTGTTGATGCATTACTAGATAATTCGATAGGGGGCATAAATTGTTTAAGTTACACTGGCATGTGCCTTTGGTAGTCAATTGGTTTCTGATAGACTCGGTGCCTGCCGAGAAGTCTCCGCCGGTGACATACTAGTAGTTAAGCTTTCATAAGTAATGCCATCTGGTGCGCACTATGCAGGCTCAAAGCTGTCAACAATTATGAAATACTAACCCGGGCTAGCAGAGCGCCCAGTCGCGCTACCACTCTTCTAGAAGCTTTGTCCGATGGTCACCAATCCTTCACGGAGAGACAACCCTAGGGTAGACTGGGTTAGCTGTACTGTTCCATTGACAGCTTCTCAGCCAAGAATACTAGCACCGAGCGAGCATTACTTCTGCTCCGTACCATACTGCTAATTACTACTGTAGAAGAAACAAGATAAGTGCAATCTAGTACTCCGTAGCAGCTAGCTCACAATACACTGTAATAGTATTTCCCTCTCTGTCAGAGAGCTTGAATACACTGGCCAGATTTCACACTATGTGATTACGGGGAGATTAACTCATCTTGCACATGTGTCAGCAGGAGGATTTGATTACTAATTAAATTCATTTCCTTTCAGTGCTTCTGTGGTTCAGTAGTATTTTGCCTCCTCCTTCTTCCGCAACACCAATGTTAAGGTAACATAATACGTAGATTCTAGCGCTAAGCTAACAATTCATGCCCACCTACCGTCGTAGTAGCGTGGGTGGTGGCAGCATGGTCAATGCAACCTTTAGCGCCTGCCGCATTAGTGCAGTCGGCAGTCGGCAGTCGGCAATCGGTGTCTGAGTCTCAGTTAGCATGCCCCCAAGTAGTAGAACCTGATACTTAACACACTCTTACTTGACTGCTATTTATGATTCAAGCTTGCTGTTACAAATCAAATAAATATCAAAATAGACCTCCTGATGTGAAGCTGTCAGAGCTGTGAGCCGTACGTAGTCCGCTTCCTGCATGAGCAAGGCATGCAGCAGAAGATTGGATCAGCAGGGGAATTCTCCTTACAAGGCTCACACCCGCAGGATCTTGTGTACATGTACCTCTTAGCATCCCTGACTCTCAAGGAATGACTGTAAGACAGCCCTTGTAACGAAGGCGTTAGAAGTGGGGAAGGCTCCCAAACGGGGTGCAGGGCAGGGATACACCCAGGGGCATGGGTAGAGCAGGGCACAGAGGTAAGGGGGTGGCTTTTTCTGTACCTCTTTTTTACAATCTTCATCATCTAGTCGAGCAGTCATGACAGATAAAGCATAGTGATTTGCAAGCGACCAATACTTCTCAGTAAGTGGCTCTCAAATACTACCAAAGTACCCTTGCCGGCCTCATTTTATAAGCCTCACAAGGATCATGCAGACTACCACATCCATTTACAAGAGGCGCTCTAGATGAACCGACCTGGAGCACCCTTTCTTTGAGCGCTTGATGTCCTGAATGTCACGAAAGAACGCTAATGGGAGTGTGCGTATGAAGTCACTGAAGATATGCGCTTGCTAACTCTGGATGACGATGCCTTTGTTATGCCATAACCACAACACGTCTCTATCGCGCTCTGACCTGGCTCTCCGGTCTTCTCTTCTCTCAAACGCCGGAAGTGATTTGAAATGTACAAATTGGGTATCCAGTGCCATGGAGAGCATTGGGTTGTCCGCCCAGAGCGCTTCCCGACTCCTACACCAGAAGAAGAACAGCAGTTTCATTGTTGTCTCTGCTGCACAACGGAGTTACTTTCGTTGATCGACCTGTTTGGAACCACTCAGCGTGGGCTTGGCTTCTTCTCTTCCAAACTTCTTCTGAAAGTTGGTCCCATTCATGATAAACAACACCCCCACAACGCCTAGCAAGTTCAACAAGGCCAGTCCAGTGAAACACCACCCGAATCCCATCGAACTTGTGAGAGGGTCGATGATTACTGCGGCGATTGCTGCTGCCACATTACGCAGCAAGCTCGCGAGAGCCATCTGGCTGGCCGCTTGCGTTGGGAAACACTCGGTCTGGTAGCTGCTACTTGTGACAAAAACCCAAGTCATTCCGAAACTAGCTGTACGCCCATCACAAGTCAGTATGGCTGATCACTGTAAAGAGTCCGGGGTAGCAATACAGCACTGCAAACCAGGGAGATGCCGGACGGACTTGGGGTTCTTGCTTACCGATTCCCGATGCTACAAGCGCAGCACTAACGTGGATGTGGAACCTGCAAAACCACCCATACATAAGAAGCCCGGCTGCTGAAAGGATGTAACCATAAATTTGGGTGCTGATTCTGCGCTCAGGAGGAATGTTCTCGCTTCCATGTTGGCGCACAGCTCTTTTCCGCAGAAAGTCAGACGTCCGACCGCCAGCTAACGAACCGAACACTGCCGGAATCCCTGGAAAGAGCAAGAGTTAGTACCATATCCGGAGGATAGAAATGATATGCTCCCTCCCCCAACTTACCTGAAGCCAAATACGCATAACCAACCTCGGCTTCGCTGAAACCGTATGTGTCACCCAAGGCCCGAGGGAATGTAATCAATATGGAATAAAAGGCAGCAAAGAGAAAAGCCCCACTGATCATTACAATCAGATTTGGTGGATATTTCAAAAGTCTATAGAACGACTTTAGGTTGGGGCGTGGCATGCGGGGAAAGTCCTTGCTGTCCACGACTTGCGCTTGACGAAACCTCGGGGCGCTGATCCAGCCACGATTAGCATGGACTTCTCCATTGCCCACCAGGCATCGCAGAGTCTCGGGAAGACAGAAAATGATCATGCAATACACGGGGAAACAAGCGATGGCTGACACAGTGTCAGCAATGTCGTGTTATAGAGTCAATCTCTCGACTGTCCACTGGGTATCTCACTGACCAAGAAATCCGAATACCCATCGCCATCTCTCTGGCACGGCAAATTGGCCTCCAATGATAGGTCCAAGGACTGGAGCAATTTGTGGTCCCAGCAAGAAGACTGACAAGGCGGAAGCTCGTCGTCGAGGCTCAGTTATATCAGCCACAGTGCCCGCCCCAATTGAGGTCACCCCACAAGAACCCAAAGCTTGAAGAACTCGGAGGAAAAAGAGCGCTCCGATATTGGGAGGCAGCGAGGCGAGCAAAACGTTGGCAAAATTGAAGATTCCAAGAGAGACCAAATACACCGTCTTGCGTCCTCCGTAGTCTGCACTTGCCGCCCACAGAAGCGGCTGTGGTAAATGGGTGATCAGCTGCGCGTCTCGGATACTCTAGGAAATGGAGAGCTTACAGCAACTGCGAAGACGGCCATGTACATGGAGACAGTAGCATTAATGGCGGTGGCTGACGCCGAAAAGATGCTCTCGAACAGTGGGAGGGCTGGTAGATAGATGGCACCAGATAATGGACCAAAGAATCCCGCCGCTGTCACGATCCCGAGTATGAACCTTCGTCGTTGAGGAGAAAACGCCGAGTATGGCGGTGGTGCTTGTCTGTCAAACTTGTTGCCCACGATTTTGGTCTCTGTAGATGTGCTGACGTCGGACTGTCGACCTTCGTCGTCGTCTTGAGATATCGGCGTCATATCAGCGGCAATAATTTTCGCAAGGAATGATTAATGGTGAAGCCGGAAGACGATCTACACATCGTCCAAGAAGCAGGTCTCATCTTCGCCGTGTCGCACTGTACAGGCAGGATTCCCGTGAGGCTGAAGCTGCACAGCAGTTGGGTCAATGCCCAGGTAGCACATAACGGGATATCCTATTTGGGAAGCTCATGGGGCGTAAGTACTCTGACATGGTGCACCGCCGGATGCGCATCAGAAGCAAAACTGGTCAGGTTACATGCCTTGAAGGATCTCAGAATCTCTCACTGGGCGCCCCAGCCGTTGTAGCACCCGTATGCAGCATCTAGTAACCCCAATATCTGACACCGTACTAGCCTCCGCCTCTGCGACAAAAGATGCCATTTCAATTCAAGGCTTCACCTGGCACGACATGTGGACGGACATTCTAATTCTCAATGAGGGCTGAGTTACTAGTACTACTAGTAGTACTACTAAGTAGTAGTAGACTCGACCGCAGTGAATCTTTCAATGTCCTGCGGCAACGATCTGGCTTGGCGGACTCCATCTTTAGTACTTATCGCATTGAAGGCGGGCGATTCGCTCCACACCATCTCGCCATCTTTCCGACCACTTCACCGCCCCCTAGAAACGATCACAATGCGGCAGCCTCGCAAATCCCCCACGCTACGAATTTAAGGGTCCACAATGGGAAAACTCAATCTACGCCTCGGTCTCTGCTAGCTAGTATCCAGCAGGTGGAGGGTCTCCACCCTACCCCTGAATAAAATCCATCTGCACGACAACGTCACCATCAGCCCCTAAGCAAACAGTTCCATGATTACTTGGTGCCGCCGAAAAGTGCGTCCCTTCCTAATTGGGTCTAGCACCACGCTAGATCCATCTCCGCCAAATTCTGGCGAATCAACAGCCAATTTCAAACAGTTGTATCTCAACAACAACTACTCGAAATACGTTGCCCTTTAGCTATAACAAGCAGCTATAGCTATGCCTCCTCATCATGGCGAAATCCCTTACGAAAAGCGCGTTGCTGTCGTTGCCCTGCGACTTTTAGCAGGCTTGAAATTCGCCGAAATTGCTGAAAAACTCGATCTTGAAGCGAATTCGATTAACAAGCTCTACAATCGTGCCCTAGAGCGTACAGAAAGGGACTCTCAAGACTCGTTTCTCGCTATTGCACAAAATTCAAGAGATGGGATAAGGGCAGGGAGGCCACCAAGGGTACCACCAGGGTCAGAGGCATCTCAATTGTTAAGAGAGCTATTTCATGAGCATTTTGAGCTTCCTATTGAGGTAGTAACAACCTATATTGCAGGACTCAAAATGGCACGCAGCACAGCCGAAAATATCGCTCACAAGCATCGCGATCCTCTGAACAATCACGAATTAGTTCGAGTCGTACAGCCAAATAAGCCTGTTCTTACTCACGACGTTCGAGATTTACGCGTTGAATATGCGGAATGGGCTACTAAGGAGCAAGAGAATAGTGCTATATTCATCTTTGTCGACGAAACTTACTGTCATTTTGGAGGGCATTGTAGGAACAAACCAAAGATTACAAAGCCAAAAGGTGCAGATCCACATCTCTACGCACGTTTTGATCCTGCAGAGCAGTTTCAATTGATGGTATGGGGTGCAATTGGTCTGTACGAAGATGAGATCAAATTCCCTTTTTGGATATGGGAGCCAGAAACAGAGGAGGATAAATAATAAGCAAGGCAAGATATTAATCAATACAATGCGAATCACAAGCGAGAAGCCCTATCTCAACAGGCTAATGCCCACGTCTCTAGTATCGTTGAAAATCACGTTCTACAAGAGATAAATAATAATGTTATTTCTCACAATCAACAACGACGAGCAGAAGGTTATCAAGGCAACAAGGGATTCAAAAGAAAACGTACAGCAGAACAGGTGTTTAAATACGTTGAATTTAAGAGAGATAACAAGAAGGGGGGCATTGATTAGTAGATATATCGCAACGAGATTTTGATCCCTCTCTTGATACCCTATTATCAAGATATTCAACGTCGTCATGGCAACCAAGGCAATGTTTGGCTTGTTGAGGATAATCTTGGTGTTCATAAGAAGGCGTGGGATTCTCTCGGAGATATGGGTGTGTTGAGGGCTCCTTGGATGAGCAATTCTCCTGATTTGAATCAAATTGAGCCAATTTGGGGGTATCTCAAGGACTCACTATGGGATATGAGAGTAACCTCCTCTTCTGAGAGCATTAAGGAGCTGGCCAAGGGTAGAATTCGTTACGAAATGCACTCTGAGGGTATGCGACGGTGTGCTAAACACCATATTGAGGGCTATCGTGACAAATTGGCCCAAGTTCAGAGGCACGAGGGCAATAACAACTTCAGAGGATAGCTGCAATTGATTGGCTAACAGAATCCCTGCCCTCTCCACTCTAGACCCTCTATCCTATACCCGATTAGGAAAGATATACAGCTTCAAATTAGCGCTAGGACGCACTTTTCGGCGGCATCAGTAGCCTTATCGACCTGGCTCTCGCGCCTGTTCCGACGCCACTAGTTCCTCATCAGGATAGCCCGTCGGCAAAATAGCCGAGCCTTATTCGATTCTTGGGACCGGAGGACTTCACCTGTGCAGCTTGAACCCTTCTCTCAAACATCCCAAAGAGAAGACGACACCGTGCCAACCCCGATGAGGCCTGCCTTGCTCTGCAAGACCAACGTCGATCGCAATAGGATTCCGACCCATGCCGTCCTCGATCGTACTCATGTGCGCCACCATGCACTCGCCAGCACATGCATTTGTGTCGTTGGTGAGCTTTGGCAGAAGAAAGCATCTTTGATTTCTGCCCCCTCAGGCGAACACGACAGAATTTACCCTTGACGGTATCCATGCTCCACTTCTGTGCACGTGGGACTGTTACATTCTTTGCGATCGAGTCATTGGCACCTGTTCTTAACCTGTAACATGACGATTGCGGTATTTCTTTCTAATCAATCACGATCCCAGCCTTTCGAGTCTGCGGACAGAATATGCGAAAGGGCTACGGGCAAAGAATTGCTGTAGCACAGCGCTTTTAATGCCATTGGTACTAGATTCTGAAAGGATTTACTTTGTTGTCGACTGCTGACAGGCAGAGTCTGATTTCGATAGTACAGCCCTGCATTCGTCTTCGATGCCATGATTGCTCAACCTCCAAACTTTCTCCCCTTCCCCCACTCCCTTGTGCAACAGTCCTTCTTTTGTTCCAAAATCCAAAAAGTACTTCCTTGGTTCAGCCTTCCCGCGTCCGGGGAAGCAGGCCCTCGCTCACCTAACAATATGTCTTGGACAGGCTAGGGAGTGGTCTGTACTGTATGCAAGCTCGTGCCTTTCTAGATAGTGACATCATAAACATATAGGTTGACAGCCCACAAGGTTTCAACCATCATTTGCCAAAGCCGTATCGGGTCTCAGGTGCAGAATCCCCACCAAGGATGTTCCTTAACACATAGGCGGACAGCCCATGCAGGTCTTTTCGATCGTCATATGCCTCAACCTGTGTCGCACCTGGGCCGGCGGGAGAAGGTCAGGACGCAGACACGACCTGCACAGATCAGATGTAGCAATCCGAGAACAACCTGACTGCTGTCCGGAGCTTGCCAGACCCGAGCCTATAGCATAGCCATGACAACCATGTTCACCGAACAAGGAAGGCCGGATCAAACACACACAGTCTGATCTGGGAGAAGACAAAAGCTGCTATGCATTATTACGTCAAAGCAAATCGAACCCCTGTTTCTCATCCAAACGGGTCCCCTGGAGCCTCTCAAATCTGACTCGCAGCATCCTCGGATATAGCGGCCCAGCCTAAGTGGAATTAGCTTACACCTTCGAGTCAAATAGCAACGGGGATATTGGTAGAGACTCACCAGCGTCATCTTTCTCACCCATGCAGGATCAATCCACCACTTTACCTCTCTTAACACCGTCGCCATCGAAAGCCTTGCCTCAAACATTGCAAACTTCTGTCCCAAACACGCTCTTCTGCCGCCATGAAACGCAATAAACGACGCCCGACTATTAACCCTCCTATAGTTCGCATTGATCTCCTCCACGGTACTGCCCCACCGCTCGGGCTTGAAATCGTTGGCATTGGCGCCCCACGCCCCGTGATCACGGCCTGTCGCGTAGGCATTATAGCCAAGGTATGTCCCTGCAGGGACAGGGATCTTGCCTCCCAGCATGACGTCCTGAGTAGTTTTGCGATTGAGCAGTTGCGAGATCGGAGGGAAGAGGCGAAGGGTTTCGTAGATCACAGAAGTTTGGTAGGGCACATTTTGGAGGGCGGTGTAATCGAGCTGGTCTGATGGACCAACGGACATGATTTCCTGGCGTAGCCGGGCTTGTGCATCCTAAACCATCTCAGTAGGCACGTGGAGAAAGGAGTGCCTTGAAGATAAAACTCACCTGATTCTCCCCCAACAAGAATATCATACTCGTCAGCAACAGCTGCGGATTTTCATGGCCAGCCAAAAACACGCTGACCATGTTATCCCGGAATTGCCCCGCGATCATGCGGCAGCCCAGCCGATCTGTCGAAGGATCATCATGCTGATGTCTATGACCTCGAAGCACAGTCGCACAGAGTTCGTCCGCGAACTTGACCACAAGCTTTCGCGCTCGGTCTCGGCTTTTGACGGGGAGGAGATCCAAAAAAGGGAAGTTGAGGAAGAAGGGCTTAAAAATCTCGCGTTTCACGGCGAGTTGGAGGGTGTGAAGTGGTGCGTTCGGGTTTTGGAGGGTCTGCGTTGCAGTCAGCTTACCTTGCTTCACTGGCCAGGATAGAACTCAAGGGAATTGACTAACGTACCTGAAAATCTGCTCCAAGGAGGCTCTCGGACAGATTCGCTAGTGTATATCGCTGCAAAAGTTGCGGCAAAAGCACACTTCCGTTTCCGGAAAGTTTCTGCTCCTCGAACAGCAGCCGGATCAGGGTATGCGCATTCTTCAGGATCGGCTCGACCTCGAACTCCCGCTGCAAGCCCGGCTTCAGCACAGATTGATAAAGTCGCCAATTCTCCCCATGCGCACTGATGATATTATCACCCGTGTACTCTGCGAGCACGCTATAAGGGATCTTCTTCTGGTTCCCGCTCTTCGGGTACAGACTGTCTTCGCACTTGAAGACCTCGGCGACGAAGGCGGGACGCGTGACTAGGATGTTCCATCGGGCGCCGAAGAAGATCTTTACCGCGCCATACTGTTGGAGGGGCCCGGCGAGGTATTTCCCGTACAGGTCGGCTTGGTCAACGTCCGTGAAGAGTGAGAGTAGGGAAACATAAAAGGGAATGGTGGGGATGTTCTTTGGGAAGTCTCTGGGCGGTATGAGGAATGCGTAGGGGAGAGCAAGGAAACAGAGGAACAACGTGAGTAGGATGCCGATGAGGAATATCGTTAGTAGCATTGTTTCTGTCTGAAGGTATGCGGATGGAGATCATGGGGAGCAGAGCAGCTGCTATCAATCAATGCGTAAATATGAACACTTGCCAAATTGTGCATGATGCAACCTTGCCCTTCCTATGCTTTGACGCAGCTTGGGTCTTACCTCGATAGGTGGTTTTCGTGAGCTAAGGATTTCCATTCCAACAAGCATGAGCTGCAATGACCGTTTCTCGGTCTCCCGTATCAGGCATGGATACATGGGGCTGGGCGATGGCTTTGTTACACCGCAGGTTCTCATTCAAAGTAGCTATTCTGAGGAGGTCCATTCCCTGCGGGTTTGCTGTGCCCTGTCAGCACAAACAAGGCTTGGCTGGCTGTGTAGCCGCATGGTAGTTTCATGGCCAGGGCTAGCTGCGGTTACTAAACAGGGTTATTGTAGCCGGGAATGGTCCTTGGATTAGCGCGACGTGTGTCCCTTGGTTTGAAGTTAGCTTCCCCGGGTTCCAGGTCCCACCAGGTGCCAAACACAGGATCCACGAATAAGGTGAAAGGTTTCGCCGATCCCGCCTGTGTATGGAACTGGTTCAAGCAACCTCTTTTTGATATTGTCGCGGCGTAGACGACACATTTAGCACTCAGTAGAGCGGCAAACCTTACCTTGTAGGAGTCCGAATATTCCTTCGGGCCATTGAAGGTATGAGGGCTGGCCTGATGGTCCGCTTACGTTCTTTCTAGGCAGGACCCCGGGGAACTGCCAGCCATCAAGGCAATTCTGCACATTCTTTTTGCGAAGACGAGGTTTGGCCAATGACTTATCAAAGCAAGTCTGTGTGTCGTGCAAAGCCTATGCAGAAACGAAATGAATGCCGCCTATGGTCACGAGTGACTACTTAGCTTTTTTCTCGTGCCACCAACTTACTAGCGCTTCGATCATGGCGCAAGCGGGG